TTGATTTCAGAGAGTGGAAGGGGAAGAGAGAGAGAGAAACATCAATGATGAGAGAGAATCATCGATTGGCTGCCTCATGCATGCCCCCTATTGAGGATTGAGCCCTCAACCCAGTCATGTGCCCTGATCAGGAATTAAACCGTGACCTCCTGGTTCATGGGTCAATGCTCAACCACTGAGCCACACCGACCGGGCAGTGGTTCGATTCTAATTAATTTTTGTCTACCTTGGACTTTAGAAATTTTTTTTTCAATTGTAAGAATTAGCATAATTATAGTACCAAATTCTCTGTGGGAAAACATGGCTTACAACCTGAATTTTAACCAACAGGATACAGTTCTGTGAAGAAAATTAGAATAATGATCTGTGTATGGCCACAAAAAATCAGAATGGTCTTCAATTTTATTAAATATTCAGTTCTAGGTTCTAGAAAGGATGGGTGTCTTGCTTCCAGTTTCTCAAGTACACAGTACACATATTTAAACATTGCATTTATTGTTCTTGCTAAAAAAAAAAAAAAAAAAGGGAGTGAATCTAATCCCCCCCTCCCCGCCAAAAAAAACGTTGTGAGAAGTGTGTGGGCTTTATAATCAGACCTTGATTTCTGCTATCATGCTATTGACCTTTAGTGAGTCAGTTAGCCTTTCTGTGCTTTTTTCTTATCAAGGATAATAGTGCCTACCTTTTGGGTCATGGGATTAAATTCGACCTTGTACGAGCCTGACCTTTACTGGGAAGGCTTTACATAAATGATGGTTCTTTTATAGCAGGTCTCTGCTTCTCCACAGGGAAACATGTAAGTGCTGGCACTGAAGGTCCTCCAAATGGTTCCCCCTCTTCCCTGCCCCCAACGTTTTCCTCTGCTTCTGTCTGTGCTCCGCATTAGGCAGCTGAAGGGACCTTCCTTGCACACTCCCTGTTGTCTTGTTGTTTTCCTTTGAACTAAGCCAGCCACCTTCACATCAGCCAGCCAACTCGGTACCTCTTCCTTCTAAGCTCCTAATATGTCATGGATACTTCCAGATACTCTATACTCCACAACTATCTCTCACTTGGACTCTTTTCATGCCTAGTATATACATTTAACAAAAATCTCATGAAATATTTACTCTGTGTATTGCACTCCAGTATTTTCATTTTTTTTTCTAAAGATTCTGGCTGCGCCGAAACCGGTTTGGCTCAGTGGATAGAGCGTCGGCCTGCGGACTCAAGGGTCCCGGGTTCGATTCCGGTCAAGGGCATGTACCTGGGTTGCGCGCACTTCCCCAGTGGGGGATATGCAGGAGGCAGCTGATCGATGTTTCTAACTCTCTATCTCTCTCCTTTCCTCTCTGTAAAAAATCAATAAAATATATTTTAAATAAATAAATAAAGATTCTGGCTGAAATCCATTAAACCCAAGTGATTTTATTACCCCAATAATGTGTCATGACCCAGAGTTTAAAAACAATGAATTAGATCATAGACCCCTGAGCTCCTTTTGCTTCTCCCTCCACTACAGAGCACACAACAGGCAGCCACTCAAACAATTACACTGAACTGGAAAAGGGGTCACAAACTCAGCAGTCTGGGTGAATAATATAATTGATTGAAAGGGGGAGTGTAAGAAAAATAACCCGAACATGATGATAAATGTTACGTGACCTTTGGCCTCCCTGTCTGGGAGACAATAGGGAGTGCCGGGGACCTTTCGAGAATCCAGAGCACAGGCCCTGTTTTAAAGGAGAGGGGGCTGCCATTCAATTCCAGTTGCCAGGTTGAATGCCCAGTGTTGCCAGATCTTTTGAATTAAAGACAAGTGGCTAATTAAGATCTTTGTGCAGTCTTCCAGTTTTTAAATGTCAACTCATTTAAATTTTTTAATGTGTTAGTCTGTGCCAAGCCAATACATGCACCAGATGTGGACGTTGGCCTACCAAGTAGCAGCTTTTAAGAAAATTAACTTCTCAGGGAATCAAACTGAACTGACTACATTTCAGAGAGACTCACTCTGTTCTGACCTGCAGCTGTTTAATAGTAGTTTGAAGCTACGATGTACTAGTAAAGGTGAAAGATTCTTTGCCTTGGTTGGAATTTTCTGCCTAAAAAAAAAGGATTCCAATTCCCATATTTTCCCAGTTTTTCAGTTCCTTACCAACTCTATCCCAAATGGCCTGTCTGCCACCACCAAGACTAAAATGCAGTTACTCTATTAAAATACTACAGTTTCAGCCCTCGTAGGTTTGGCTTAGTGGAAGAGCCGCTGCCTGCGGACAGAAGGCTCCTGGGTTTGATTCAGGTCAAGGGCATGTACCTTGGTTGCAGGCTCCTCCGTGGCCGGGGCCCTGGTGCGGCATGTGCAGGAGGCAACCAATCAATCTGTTTCTCTCAGATACTTGTCTTTCCACTCTCTAAAATTCAGTGGGAAAATATCAGCTGGTGAGGATTAAAAAAGGGGGGGGGGGTTCACTTGTTTACTAGAATTCACTCACATTGGTTGTGATGAATGAACAGCAAGTCATTGCCCTGCATCCAATCACTCCTCCAAAGCCAGTTTCAGCTGTGGCTTTTTTTGCTCCTGCCCTGCTGGGGCAGTGGATCTGAAGAATCAAATTGAGGAACTGTTTTCTTGGATAACTGAAAAGAAACTGCCAATTTTCTCGCCCTGGCATGTGTATATGAGAGTGACTCACCCCTGAGAGTTAATTGGCACTAATGACCAGCCTGACTTGTCACAGCAGCAAAGCTTCCGGCATAACTTGCTTACTCCTGGAGGGGAGCTGCCCGCCTCTCCCCTCTGCACATGCTTACTTCCGAAGCTCGCCGTTTTCAAACATGGTTGTGTGCTTTTCAGGGAATGATTATTCAAAACGGGAAGGGACTGGAATGCTTGCGTTAGG